AAAATTAGTGAAAATAGTGAATATCATGATAATGTTAAAAGTTAATTTTATGTGTGATCTGTGAAAACTGTCAATGTTTTTTTACATTATTGTAGTCAATCTCACATTTTTGTTAGGACCATTGTCGTCAATTACGATTGACAGTTAGCATACAGTTTGGCTTGGCGGTATAGTTCCGTTCTGGGGTGTGTTTTCCGAAAGCATCGTTAGCCAACTATGGTCGCAAGTTGGTCACAATTTCCATTAAACTCTATTGGTAAACAACGGAACTTGCGACCATAGTTGGCTAACGATGCTTTCGGGAAACGTACACCTGGGTGAGAACTCCCGAGCATCCACGCAGCTTAGCATGGATATGAGCAGCAATAACCCCCTTTGGGTAAACAGAACAGATCCAACATGAGGTATCATTAATTCAAGATTTTAAAATACAACATTATTCGAGAATTTATTCTGATTTGAGGGGAATCATATGAAGGTAAAATAATGCCTAAAAGGATTGCATGTGCAGGGTAAGATTTGTGAAAGATTACATAAGATGGCAAGCGTAAAATAAATGTACATGCGCAAGAGAAGATTTGTAAAAATGTAATTTGCCCTTTAAGTGTAAGAAAAAAACTATTTGTAGCATTTAACTGTTATTCGTAAGTGTAATTTGTGTATTTTTAAGCTGCAGCTTCATGCTAACGCAAAATAAGATCTGTATTCTTTAGACTTTAATTTTTCCGCGCTTACACTTTTGGCACGGTTTTTGCGCGCTAATGCAAGTCTGTGAACAGCAATCTGCAAGCGAAAACCACAGAGGCAGGAACTGCAAAACAGATGAATTGCGTAAAATTCAACTGTGTAAAAAAAATAAACTGTTGCAAATGTCTAAATGACTTGTTGTGTCCATTACACGCAGTCAGTGACCCATCTCTGTAACTTTATAGAGCCAGTGGCAAAATATTGATGTATACGTTTTTTGCCCTCCCCTATTGAGTATCGATTCAAACTGTTTTTACATTAATCAGCACGTGAGAGCTTTTTGTTTTGGGAAGAACACCAAAAGCCACTCACTCTTTAGGCACATTGTGACCAAACCTGTCTCATCTTAACCGTGACACTCCACTTAGCCAAATCCCCACTGATTCAGGACGCTGTGCTTTGGGGGATGGGTGCACCGGAACGAGCATAAGTAATGAGATCACTCAGTGTGATTTGCCCAGTCAATGGAGTGTTATTCTCTAAGGAGTGTTTAACCCCATTCACATCGATCAACATTCACAGGTCATTACTTATTCTATATGTAACGCAAATAAAGTCTGCTGCTTAGCATCAGCGAGCCCTGGGATAGATTTCGATGAGTCATGTGGCTTATTTTTGTTCTTTATTTATTTGCAGTATTGCCCCCGTGAGAGCTTGGGCTCAGAATAGAGACCGTCTAACAGACTGAACTTTAATTAATACAGGATAGCAGTGATGTCAGCCAACCATAGGCCACAGCTGCGGGAACATTGATTGATCTGTCCTCGGGTCATATCTTGCCTTAGAACCACAATCACTTCCCATCTCTCAGCATAGCTATTATCGGACATGTCTCTTGAATGGTTGAATGTATCTGATCCTGTAAATCTCACTGCTTGCCTCTTCTGCTTTTTCAAGTTTTGACACTTCTTTGACGTAGTAATGCTGCAATAATCCAACCGCGATGTATGAGCGCATGGATAGCAATCTCTAAGGTTTTCTCAGAGAGAAAGGATTTGATCTTAGATGAGAAGACATAGCTGGAAAAAACAAGAACTAATCACCGCATTTATTTGTTTTTCAAATTTGAGGTTCTGAACCCAGAGAACCAAAGCACCTAAACGCTTAGATGCAAGATGTAGTTGGGTAAAGATAATCCAGATCAATGTTACTGCTATTGTAGTTGCCATGGGGGCCAAAGACTATAACCTTGGTTTTGGATTCATTCAAAAATAAGATTGAGAGAACCACATTTTTACTTCTTCTAGGCATACCAAAAGAGATTTCAGGGTAGTATCTTTGTTTCAGAGGCAAATAAATGTGTGTATCTTCTGCATAGCAGTGAAATGATACACCAATCTTTCTGAAAATGGAGCCCAGAGGAAAATATATGGAAAAAATAATGGGTACGAGAATAGACCCCTGCGGCACTTCACAGTCGAGTTGGGCTTGCGAGGAAGAAAAACCCAGTTTGACAGAGAAACTTCTATTTGTTAGATGCAATCTAAACCAACTGAGAATCTGCTATGGCACACCATGGTATATGATTAGGATAATGAAACTATAACACCCTATTTTTTTGTATTTATATATATATATATATATATATATATATATATAATCAAGAGCCATTTTTTAAAGAAAAATGCCAACAGTACACTGAAGTCAAAACAGTTAAAGGGATACTTAACCTTTTTTTTCAAATTAAAGTTATTCCCTTAACTAAGACGAGTTGATAGATATCTTTCTCGTCTCAGTGCATGTACTAAATTGCTCTGTTTTCCGGCGAAACTGTGATGGCACTTAGCTTAGCCTAGTTCATTCATTAGGATCCAAACAGAGAAGTGACCAAACACCTCCAGGTATTCCTTATTTAAATACAGTTACACGAGTAGTGTAACTCGACAATCTGGAACCAGCATTGTACTGTCTGCCACACTAACTTTTTGTATTTCTTAATATTTTACTTTGAGTAGGCTGACCAACTGTCCTGTTTTCCCATGAAATGTCCTGTTTTCATATACCAATATAACCATTTTCTATCCATACAGAGGAGGCATAACCTCAAATAACTTTAAATAACCGCATAACTTTAAATGTATTGAAATTAATAAGGTATATTTGAGTAAACTTTGAGTATAATTTGAGTAGGCCCATCTGTTTGCCGGGCCGAGTGTCCTGGTTTTTGGTAATCAAAATATGGTCACCCTAACTTTGAGCAGCAGTTATGACTAAGCAAATGTTTTTGTGTAAACACACAAGTAGCATTATAATTTGAGCAAATAAATGGCCCACATATCACTGTCTAGTCATTCATGACCTGCTATGTGAGATCAGACTGTATTTGTTTATCTAGTTAACTTTGCTATTGCAGATTATCAACCAGATTTGCAGTGTAGTAGGAATGCTCGGAACTCCACTGAGCCCTCTCTAATGGGTCACATGACCGTGGCCTGGGGGGTGGGGTGGGGGGGGACGAGGTGACATCTGCTTCCTGATCTGCACATTCGTGCCGCAACACACCCCGGCTAAACAAGACAATGCTTGGAGCATAGAACCAACACAGTTTAACACAACCAACTGCTTGTTTAGAAAATATTGAGCTAGTTTAAGAGACTGTCACTCGATTCAACTCAAGTGACTTCCTTCCTGCGTAGTGCTTCACTGACAATAGGACCTTTTAATCCACGTTATTGTGAAATTGTAATACTTATTGTTTGTCTCGTGGACAAGGCAAAGACTAAGACTGGCAAACACATGGAATGTGTCTTAAATGTACTGTAGTTGAGAGCGGCCCTGTCCTGCGGTCAATAGCTCTTTGTTTAGCCACAGAACCCCCGTAAATGGGGTGGCTGCTGATTGTAGCTGCCATTGAATGCTTTACAATGGAGTTGGGTGAGATGCTTGAGCGAGAGAGGGTGGGGAATGGGAATGGGAATGAGTGGGATTGAAAGCCCCATTGGCCGGTTGTACTGTTGTGCCACCTGGTGGAGAGGCAACAAGTTCAAGTCAGATGTTTTGATGGTCATCTGTCTCTTTGGTGCAGGTGGTCTGCTGCTGGGAGTCCACTGCTGTGAATGGCCTCGGTGGGTTTGTGGGGCACGGAGGTTTTGTAACCTGATTCCCTGTCGGTCAAAGCTGTTAGCGCAATCGATTCGTTTTCATCTCTCTTTTTCCAGCGCTGTTGTAGTAGCCCAACAGTCTGTGGTGTCAGTGGTGTGTTGAGTTTCACAGAGTGATATCCATCTGACCACTATGTTTCTCTGTGTGGATCTCTGTATAAACGCACAGACAACATTTAGTTAGTTGTTAACTCTACAAATGTATAAGTAAGCAAGTAGTTAGATTATACTAAATGTTAGGGACCTCCCCTTGGAGCAAAGTAGGGATGCACCCATATGAAAAGTTTTGCCGATACGATAATCCTTTATGTCTGAAAGCCTATGACCGATAAATCCAAATTCAAATTTTTATATAGTTTTTAGAGCTTGATTACAAAAACAAATGTCTCACTATGTCCCAAGCACACAATTATAATGTTCGCTTTACAACGTTATGAAGCCTATATGACAGACTTGTTCCACACATGGTGTACTTAACTGCATTTTCCTTTCAAAGTGATTCCAATCATATTTCAAGCATTTAAATAACCTCATGGCGATCAGTGCACATCAGAAGTGTCTCAGCCGAAATAAATAATCCATTATTTATCAGCTTTTATACATATCGACCAAAATTTCTCACAAAAGAAAATCTAAAGCCCGGAACACACCAAGCCGACGGGCAGTTTTTGTGGGTCGGCCGTCTAAGTTTCCTCTGTGTGTTCCGCACAGTTCCGTGCCGTCGGCTGAAAATAGTCTTCGTCAGCTTTTTTTCGCCCAATTCGACATGATTGGCTGTTCAGCTTAGTGATAGAGTCAGTGCATGAGAATAAAAGCAAAACAGCAAGCAAATAAGTCAAAACGGTAAAGATAGAAGGCTGTTCTTATGTTACCTCATGATACTTGAGTGTTCTTGGCGAATATTTCAATTTTAACATGAGCGGAGTGGAATAAAGAAAGCGTTTAGCAGGATTGATATGCAAAACGGTAAGCACTCGCTGCTTTGTTTACGGTATGTGTATCCTCAACTATTATTTAACGGGTCATTCATATCATGTGGTGTTCAGTTGTGTTATCTTCTGCCAGCTGTGTGCAGGGTTTGAGAAATTACTGACCTATTGCTCAGGGTTACCACAGCTCTACTGAAGGCCTTAATTCTTTGTCTCCTTACAGCGCCGGCATTGCTGTTGGTTTCTACGGGAACGGAGAGACCTGTGACGGCGTGAATCGACTTACTTACTCCCTCCGCCATGCCAACCGCACCGTGTCAGGAATACACCGACTGGTGAGGCACTGATGCACACTGGGTTATGTTTAAATGGTTCTCCATCCCTCCAAAACACACCAGAGCTTGACATTCTCAATTACTTACTCTGATACTTAGCTCATGAGAAAAGATCCTCTAAAGCAAATGTGTGTTTCTGTAGGTGTCAGAAAGTACAACTGCTCAGAGCCAGACTGTGGACGAGAATCTTCAGCTATTAAAGGACCAGTATGCAAAGCATACAGACTACCTGTCCATCATACAGAAACTCCAGTCTCAGCGGGGTGAGCTGGTCCGTCAGATGGCTGACATTCCTTTTTGGAACAATCTCAGCATCTCCCTGGAGGATCTGGCAACCCAGATTGAACTATATGACTGGTACAGGTACGTACATCCACATCTGTCACAGAAAGAGATCAGTGAAAGAAATATGTAGGGTTGGCAAACTTTCTGGTACTTCAGTACCAAATCAATACTAAAATGATTTAAAAAATACAGATTTCACTACCCGGATGCAAGTATTTAAACATTTAGTTCTTTTTAATAAAGTAAAATAGCTTTTATATATATATATATAACTAAAAAAGCTAAAAAAAAAAAAATTTTGTATGTTATTAGTTCACCTTCATGTCATATGACTATAAACCAGCATCAGTGAACTGTAATCATATGAGCGTGTTTTTGAAATATGAATTTAATCTCAAATATTAGCTTTAAACAGGGGATTCATTTTATTGGTAACTGAAATGTTGGTGTTGTGACGCATTATGAAGTGTATTGTTTGTAAAACCTTCTTAACATCCCCAAAAAAAATTCGGGGAAAAAAGGCTCAAAGGATTTCTGTGTGTCACAAAAGTTGTGAACAGTGCACTCTCAGAGAGAATAGAAATTAGTATTCTGTTCACTCGCTGTCTCTTTCCACCTCCCGTAAACCATTTAGATTTCTCAGTGAAAGAGATTGCCGTGGGGGTCTGTTAGTTTGCCTAAAAAAAGTCAAAGAAGTTTCATTCCAGGCTTCAACAGGATAAGCCTATAAAACTAAAGCATGTCTGCTATTGATTCCCAAAATGTTCATTTCTAAACATGTTTTTTTTTTTTTAAATGTTGCCCGCTTTATGCCATCTAGCAACAACCCCTATCATTGTGATGGAAAGTTTGCATGAGTAAGCTTAAAAAAAAATACGAAGATCTCCATTGGGGCATTTGCATTTAAATAACTTTATGAAACTGCGAATTTTTTTTTAGGTATATAGTATACATAATACTACTTTTCAAAAGTTTGGGGTCTGTCACCCCTGTCATTTGATAAAATAATACAGTAAAACAGTAAATATTTAAATTTTTTTTTTTTTTTGAAACCGTGATACATTTTTTTTTAGATTGTTTGTTTGATGAATGAATTCAGAAGAACAACATTTTTTTTTTTAAAATACAACTATTGTAATATTTTAAATGTAATGCATCATTGCGAAATAAAGGTATTTAATATACTTAAATGTACAATAGAGTGCCAAAGTTATGACGTCACTTTGTAGGACAACTCGGAAGTTAGCGGCGCATGGGTTCCCTCGATCGAAAAGCTATGCATTTTCCCCATAAACTTTTGGAAAATCACAAAAAACAAGATCTGTGTTCAACAAAAAGTTGTGACCCTTACACGTTTTGTCTATCAAGATAATCTTTACAAGTTAATCCAAAATGTACGTTTCGAAGCCTATATAAAGTTAAAAAAAGACGCAAGCAGACACAATGAAGTTTAAAAAACACATGCAAGTTTTAACTGGTGTGTTTTATGTCATAGATCAAGACGTGAAAATATTTAGAGGCTTTGTTCACCACAGACCTATTTCAGGCGATTTAGCAAAAACCCATTCAAAAAACCCATAGACTTTATGGCGAGGGAACCGGGAGTGTTGAAATGCTAACTCACTTCCGCGTTTGGCCTACAAAGTGATGTCATAACTTCGGCACTCTATAGACAACTGATCTGTTGGTGTTAATGCATTAATGCTGTAGAAGTAGCTGCATTTGAAATGTATTATGTGAATGTGTTGTCCTCATTAGGTGGCTGGGCTACCTGGGTCTGCTGCTGTTTGATGTGCTTATTTGCCTGCTGGTGCTCTTCGGTCTCATTCGCAACTCCAAAGGAACTCTGATTGGGTAAGAAGGTTCTTATAGATGTGTCTTTGAAGCTCTATTTTCCCTGGTGTACCACACATGAGTCAGTGCTTAAAATTCGGAATGAATTAATTATGATTGAAGCAAAAACGTAGCTATTGGCACTGACATACAGTAGTCAACATTTGAAGTGGATCAAAAAAGGTCTAAGACGAGAACGGGTACTGGTCAAAATTCATGTGTATCTTTGAAAGGTTTTGATCCGCTTCAAATGTTGATTACTGTATTTTAAGACGTGTCACTCTAAGTTGCTTTCAGTTAAAACGGCTCAAACATGACTTTTAGTCTGCATTTAATCTGCATGCAGACTGTGAAAGCGGGGAACTGAATAGTTTGTCGTAGTGCTTCTTGGAAGTGGGCGGGGACAGATTTAGATGCAGATTTCTTTAATTTCTCACAAGGATTTCTTCTCTTGAACACAATATTAAAAAAATAAGTAGAAATGATGCAAGTTGATGGCTTTAACCAAAGCACATACCATCAATTAACTGCGTAGCCCACAGTAGGTCTGTCTTTACAGGTTTATAAGTTATCATTAAAAATGAATTTCTCTATGGAGGTAATTAATGTGATTAAAATATACATAGTTGACTCATGTTGCTCATCTACCTTTTGAAATAGCTTTCGTGTCAGGAGCTTTCTGTTTAGGTATTTAGGCTGCAAACCAGGTTTTGAAATGGTCACTTTCTGCTGTATGTTTGTTTCTTGTAGCTACAGCGGAGTACCTCGGGTGCATGGTGTGGGACCAATCATGTTTTGTCATTTAGTAGATTGTGCAAAACAATTCCACTAGCCCTGCCAAAAAACACGGATAGAGCCGTCTCATTGGCCACTGATAACCTGCCGTTTCTTAAAGAATTGAGCAGTGCATTGTTTCCCCGGGCTAGAGCTCACATTAAAGCCTCTATCCTGTAGCTGTCGTACCGATTTCCTCTGGCTTGTCTTGCCCATTATATGTTTAGACATTTAACATTTTGCATTCACATTATATGGCAAAAAAGCTTGCTTGACTTGAGGCCGTGTCAGAAGGTAAATGTCAGGATATTGATTTGCTCAGAAATAAAAGTTGCTACTTGCTAAAATCACGACATCTTGAGGTTTCTATAGTTCTCTCCTGACAATTCATGATACCAAGATACCATCCTTCTGTTTGATTTGGCCTTTATTTAAAGGAGCCATAATGTTGATTAATATACGTTTAATTAATCACACAAATCTATTCGAATTTTTGTTTAAAGTATATAAATATCCATAAGGTAAATATCCTTATTTAAAATATGAAATATTTAAGATATAAAAGAGTATTAAATAATATTAATAAAGTGCATAATACTATTTATTATTCCACTTTATTAATATTATTTAATTCTATAAATTATTTTTTATTAATAATTTGCAGTCTGCTATTCTGGAAAATGCTCAGAAATGGCCTTTAGATGTGAAGATGAGCAGATGTTTTGGTTGTATTACTTAAAGATGATACTCATAACAAGCTATATGGATGATGGCAATAAGTGTGTGCTTAATCCCACTGCTGTCGTCCCGTAATTTTACCACCATTAAATTCTTATTCTATTTGAAAGTAAAAGAAATTGTTGTGGGATGAAGGGTTTTCCTTAGCTGAAATAACCCTTTGAAGGGTTTCTAACCATTTAAATGTTCGTAACATGTATAAAGTGTATATAATGATGGCTGAGATAATCATTATCTTTGTTCTCCAGGGTGTGTTTTCTGGGTGTGTTGGCGCTGGTGATCAGCTGGGGCTCACTTGGTCTAGAACTGACTGTCTCCTCGGTGAGTGTCTCCATGGCAACACTACTCCACACAGAGGCAGGACAGTATTGTACTGATGCTTCCTCTTATGATCTCTCCTGCACAAGGTTGAATTAGATCTGTGGAATTAACTAAAGCAGACAGTAATAGCTTATCTCTGATAAGGAGCCTGTTTAGCACAGTTATACCCTATTACTGCTTTGAAGGGGAGATATCATGCCTTTGTTTTTTTTTGTTTTTTTGGTAGATGTACTCTAAAAGGTACTTTTGCACACAGAGACCCAAATCCTCGTCCGAAACTTTTACACATTAAAAAATAAATATGACCACACTTTGTCAATTACTTTTACACACTGCCTCTGAAACCTTTTATGCCTTTTATGAGTCTGTTATAAGAAAAAGAAATCAGATTGGGTTCAAGTTTCTGTGTGTGTTTTGTTTTTTTTTTTTTTTTTTTTTTTTTTGCATCTGTAGCTAGCATTTTGAGAAGTGTTTTGACAGTTCAGTCCCACTGAATGACGAATACGAAAAAATGCGTACACAACTTTCGGACTCGGTGTACAAGGACCTTAACACTCACAATGCAAAACTAATAGAAATTACCATGGCTGGGATGTCAGAACCATTAGTGTCACTTGATCCTTCAGAAAAGAGTCTAAAATCACAATTCACTGCTCAAGAAACATTTCCTATTACACATTAAAAAACTTAGTTATGACAACATATGTTTTTACATTGCTTAAACTCATCAAAATAAGTTGTCTTTAGTTGTACAAGATTCAGCTACACTGTAAAAAATATTGTTGGTTTAACTTAAAAAATTAAGTAACCATGTTGCCTTAATTTTAAGTTGATTGAACTGGAAAAAGTGAGTTAATACAATGAAGGAGACTAATTTAATAATCAGAAACTCAAAATAATAAGTTATCTGAACTAAATAAATTATTTAAGTTGATTTGACAAAAGAAAAAAATTTGTGATAACAAATCTTGAAAATATTTTTTTACAGTGTAATTTTATGAAGTGGTAACGCTTTACAATAAGGTTCGTTAGTTAACATTAGTTAACTACATTAGTTAATATGAACTAATAATGAATAGCACATATACAGCATTTGTTAATCTTTGTTAATGTTATTTTCAACATTTACTAATACTTGATTAAAATCTTGTTAACATTAGTTAATGCACCGTGAACTAACATGAACAAACAATGAACAGCTGTATTTTCATGAACTAACATTAACAAAGATGAACAAATGCAGTAACAAATGTATTGCTCATGGTTGGTGCATGTTAGTAAATACATTAACTAATGTTAACTAATTAACCTTATTGTAAAGTGTTACCTATGAAGTTTTACTGTTATTGTCCGTTTAATGTCATTTTTCATTTTCATTCACACCAAGTTTAAGGTGCTTACAAATTTAAGGCAGAAACTTTTGTTCTTTTTTCTTTACAGTGTTTTAATGTTGAAAACAAATATACTGCTTAATATTTTTGTGAGAACTGTGATAAAGAAAGGTCATGAAACTTTAAAAGAACCATGTTTATTTGAAATATAAATCTGTCAGTTTTGATTAACTTAATGAGTATACTAAGGTGATCAATTGGTCCTGAAAATTATTTTTGAACATCAGTGGAAAATAACTAATTTAATTACTTTTCTCTGTCCATTGTAGGGCTTCAGTGACTTCTGTGCGGCACCTGACATGTACATTACCAAGGTGTCAGAGCAGTACTCCCTTATCAAGAAAGGTACGTTTTATTCCACTCCAGTTCTCTTAAACGTTTACTTTCTTCCACCTCCTGCTGATTTGTGAGTAAGGCTCTTAATCTAGCAGGTGTTATTGTGAATCACTCGCGACTCGCGAGTCTGTCTGAATATAGACTGTCCTACACCTCCTGACGGGGGAGCGTGTTCTCTGAGGAGTGAACAGTCACACAGGCTTTCATTTCCTGTTGGCTCAGAGAGGAAGCGTTCCATCTAACTTTCTCTTCCTCACTTTATCAGCATTACTCAACACAGCAGTTCCTCTTCAAAGTGACCTTGTTATCCACAGGAGGCTGGTTGCTCTCAGTAAATCAGTGGGAAGAGACAACCCTGTGTGGGTGTTTTATCCACTGTTTGTTTTGCGAGACCTAGCCTTTTCTCTTTGGGTGGCCGGAGCAAGATCATACATTCTGGTCAAGCCTAATTGAGGTGGACTTGGGGTACGGCCCATTGGAAAATGGTCTTCCTGTGACTTGTTCCCTGGAAAGGAAGCATTTTCACTGGCTTGAACATGTGTGAATCCTATTAAAGAGGACCTACTATGCTGCTTTACATTTTCAACTTTCTTTAGTGTGTAATGTTACTGTGAGTATGAAAAAGGTCTGCAAAGTTACAGTCACTCCAAACTGTTTCTGAACTCCCTCAAACGCCTCAATTGTAGTTTTGAGTTTTCTTCTCAACGTACACATCACTATATTCTTCATTTAAACAATTCCCAGCCACAAAAAAAGTGCAAGGCCAGGCTGAGATGCATTAGTAGTGTGTTGGGGCGTGACATTTCTGAAATACACTTCAAGCGACTGACCAATTCCCAAAACACTGGTCTAGACAGCCAATGAGAGTACACTGTGCTTTTTGGAAGGACGGGCACTTAAAGAGTCGGGAACTTAAAGTCCCCGTGAAGCGGAAGTTGCAAACGATTTTTCTCCAGTGCTGTGACGTATTTCCAAGTGAAACGTAATATTGAACAGAGGGCAGGGTTTTACTCTAGCGCTCCTCCTCTCCATCTCTCGCTCATAGCAAACTAACGGTTTGAGGGCAGTGGTTAAGTGTTTCCCCACCCAAACTGTGAAACCTACGTCATCAGAAAAAGAAACCGTTCCAGACCGGAAGTAACTTTTCAGATTTTGATTAAAGATTACTAAGGTAAAACATTTTTTTAATATATATTCACTTGCACGGATTAATTGTTCACCACAAGACTAGTAATATGCGCTAACAAAGTTAAAGGTTCAATTTTGATTTCACGGGGACTTTAACGGAGCGTTACTGTCAGACTGGGAAGAGAGGTGCTGCAACAATGTATTTTAAATATTCAAGCATGAACACCTTTACAAATAGACCCAAAGGAGTCAGATTTTAGGAGTCAAAGTCGCGTAATCTGACACAGTGACTATCGTAACAGACAAAAAAATTGTGTTATCTGAACCAGGCATAATATTATCCTGGCCTGTCCCTGTTTTCTTGGAAGCATAGCAGGCTCATAATTGTACGGCTGTGGTCCGTCAGACGAGTAAGTATTTCCTCAGCGTCCGAAATGTCATTGCGATCCATTGTTTTCCTGTTGTCTGAATCGACCGCTCCCCCACGCCCGCCACGCCCATTTTCAAAGGCGGAAGTAAAATTTTCTCACAAACTACTCCAGAAGCTTTTGTTGCGTATTTATAAGTATTTTTAAAAGTGTAGTTCCTACATTATTTTTCTATTTATTGACTGGTTGGGTCCTCTAAACTGAATATGCCCTTTAAATGGGTTCCGTTATGTTGGCGCATTGGTGCTTCACAGTAAGCAAAAGTGTAATAATGAATGCATGTGGATCCCTGTATGCTTTAGTGTAGCATAAGCAGGTTCGATATGTCAACTTTGGCCTCCGTTATGATTAATCAATTTGTTAGTTGGCTGTGAAGAGGAGAGCTACAGTATAGAGAACTTCTGAAGAACAGAATACATGAGAGAGATAAGAGGAGAGGAAGAGAAAACTGCTGAAGGATGTGGATGATAGACCATGTGACTCTCAGCTTCACACACCCATGAAATTGCATCTCATCTGGGCTCTATTCTTATCTTTGTCTTTTTCTCATTTGCTCTAAATAACTCCTTAAAGGGATAGATCACTCAAAATTGAACATTGTGCTGTTATTTACTCACCCTGATGCAATTTCAGTTTGTAATTTGTTCGGTGGAATTAAAAAGAAATGAGTTTCTGTTTTACCCAACTTTTTTGTCTAACCCAGTTCATAGTGTCCATGTGCAGTTCATAAGTGCTCCATGTGACGTTCACTATGTTGTAAAGGCCCGTTCACATCAAGGATGATTACTATAAAGAGAAACATAAAGTTAAAGAATAGTCCACAGCTGTAATGACACAGAGGACTGATATCATTTGAATCACTTTCATAACTATTTTATCCAGTTGGTGAGCCAATCAGAATCCATCCTGCTGTAAACAAGCTCGCACATTTAAGGGGAAAGACAAGCACACGCTTAGAATAAACAGAGCAATATAGTCCACTGGTGTGGATGCTAATATAGTTAGCATTACGGTAATGTTTATATTTATCGTTGTTGGTGTGAATGGACCTTATTTCTTTTGAAGCGGCGTTGTTGTTCATTAAAACTAAGACATCAGACTTTATCTCACACCTTTGCACAAGTTACGTCCCTTTATTCCAGAAAAAGATTTGGAGCGGTGATGAATTAATAGCTGTAGATGGAGTCCTCAGAGGAAAAGTGATCAGTGAAGTGAGTGTGTCCCCTCTGGCCATCACCATCCTTGATTCATGAGTCATTCTACTGCGTTTCTCCAAAATAAAACCCAGACTTCTCTGTACTTACAAACAGAACGCATGTCCCTGTGTGTGCCATCATGTGTCTGCCTTCTGTGAGGAAAGCCGCAATATGTATTCCAGTATGTCTTCTGTGCTGTGGTGTATAATACACAGTCTAGTCATTTACAGACATTTTAGACTTATCTAAATCTAGCAAACTTTTTAAATATTATTATGACTGAACACATAACGCATGCACATGACAAGACAATGACTGTATAATTTAAATGTTTGCGTTTTTAGGAATCCAAATGTAAATGAACGGCCAAAACCAATAAAACTGTTTACTGTCATTCAAATTGCCCCTTAGACTGAATGCTTTTGCTACTTCAATATGTAAATCACCTGTTATTATTGGCTAACCAATAATAATTCACATTGTTGCTCCATACACAATGTTTATCCTCATCGCATGTGACGTTCACTCAATGTTGATTTCAAACCAAGAAGATGAAAATAGTCCAAACATCTCTCTACTTTTAATGGGGAAAGTGGTTTATTTTCATGGTATAATTGTCTTCCGTGATGTACACGGTTTAGTCATCCGATAACGTCTCAGTGAAACCCTTCATAAAGAATATCTGGCATGTGTCCTGTCTTGTATGAATCAGGATCTTTTACAGCCTGCAGTCATCGCAGCATGAGTGGGATTTAAAGCTCAGCCTCCTCTCAGAACCGTTTTGGATTTCACTCCATTGCTTTTGTCTCATAAAGGCATCACCAGTCAACCAATATTGCGTCCAATTACTGGAGGTCATTCACGCATGACATGTGAGACAATGGGGCCCTGACACACAGCCTGAATACTATTACAACCTATAAATCCAGCCATGAACTACACTATAAACCAGTGGCGCTCACTTCAGCCTTTTGTACAGCCATCCATGGATAGAATGGAGAGGCCACTTTATTCCCCTCGTTGTTGCTATAATTATACCGTTTATATGCAATCAGGGAGGCCGGTTATATGCGATGGGATTTTGCTTGTTCATAAGCAGGTTTTACAGACACCACTACTGGCACTTTTCCCTGTGACCGCTGCCATGCGCTTGTCCACGTGTGTAATGATAGTGATGAAAGCATCACTCCTCCTCAACAAACCCACTGCTCTGACGCATGTGTCTGTTTTTTGATTCTCATTCACGCAACCCTCTGCAAGCTGCGTATGAAGTTGGCCCAAGACTCCATCTGCGTTGGCGCGTGGAGGTTTATGAGCGGACTGTGTGAATTAGTATTTCCTGTGCAGAAATGGAAACATTTTTTGTTGTTGTTTTAACCCTGCAGTCTACAGGGGTTGGACAATGAAACTGAAACACTGGCCAATGTTGGAGGTTTCACATCTATATGCCTGGCGGCCAATCTTCAGAGTGAAGCACGCTTGGATCAGTGATGGTTTGAGCTCCAATATCATGACAATCCTGATTGTATTTGATGGACACGACACTGCCGAGGACTACCAAACCCTTCCGGAGGATCATGAGCACCTGATGCTCAAACCGTGTATCAGCATGATCATGCACCAACACACACAGCAAGACTTGTGACAGAAGGGTTTGATGAAGATGAAAGTGACGTTGAACATCTCCCATGGTCTGCACAGTCACCAGATCTGAATATTATTGAGGTGTTTTGGACATATAGTGACCTGGACACTGTTCTGGAAGAGGAACGGCTCATAATCCCTCTGGTCACTGTGAAGGACTTCTATCTGTCAATTGGTGCTGTATTTGGATGCAAAATGAGGCCCTCACCATTCTAACAAATTATTGTGTAGTAAAACCAGGTGTTTCAGTTTTTTTGTCCAACCCCTGTACATGTTCACTGCACTCTTCATCATTACCGTCACACGTCAGATTCATTGCCAGTGTGTAGCACTACAGCTGTTTTCAACATTGATAATTAGAAATGTTTCTTGAGCAGCGAATCGGCATGCAGTTTCAATATTATGGGAATCAAACCCATGATCTTGGTGTTACAAGTGTCAAGCTGAACTGTTTGAGGTATTAACCCTAGTGCTTCCTTTTAAGAGGTCTTCAGGTCTCGTCTTTCTCATAAAAATCCAGCCCGTTCTCATCCCAAGCGGTCATATACTGACGCTTTTGACATTCCATCCACATCCAATGTACATGGCACCCTTTAGTATCAATATTACCCCTTTTCCACCAACAAGAACCAGGTACTGGTTCAGAGTTAGAGCTAGTGCTGGTTCGGAGTTGGTTCAACTGACGAGCTTTCAAAGAACCGGTTTGCCTTTCCACAGGCAAGAGAGCCATCACAGAGCCAGATCTTATGTCACTGTATACATCTCATGTTGCCCAGCAACACTAGCGTAACACACCAGGCTTGTTCGAGATGGTTCGGCACTGTGAATCTCGAACTGCGTGAGCGATTCGAAAAAAAGCATCAGAAAAAGATTTGATTGAAAATCTGGACTCGTAAACGCTCCGATCAGTCCTCCGATGCATCTCAAAGAAACCTTCCATCAACAATGGTGGTTGTTGCGTTACTATTTATGCTTATGGCTTTGCAAACCAACATCGGTATCCAAACACGGCGAATCCAGCACGTCCGTGCAGCTCGCCTTAACTTGCATTAACAGATTACAATCAAGCTGCTATTAGCATGATTAGCTGCTATTTAAAAAATAGCGGTCACAAGTTTCTATTCGTCTTGTTGGTCACGGTAACCCCCGCCCCCAGCCGCTGACGTAAGCGGTTCTTACTTCTAGATCAGCAATACCCAAGATGACATCCCCATTCAATTGTTGTGCTGAAAATTGGGGATCTTTAACAAACAGTCCTAGTAAGAATCATGGTGCTACTTAAGAACCGCTTTTACTGGTTCGAAGCTGGTGCTTTGGTGGTTGAAAAACAAATAACCGATTTGAAACTAGGCTCTGGCTCCGAACCAGCACCAGCTCTGCCTTGGTGGAAAAGGGGTATCTGAGAAGCAGATATATATGGGCCAGAAGGTGCCTCCTAGTGGTCAAACCCTAAATGTACCCCAGAACTAAGCCTACCATAACTCAACAAAGCTCTGTGTGCGTTATATTGACACTAAAGGGTGCCATGTGCGTTGGATTTAGACGAAATTTCAAAAGTGTCACTATATGATGCCCTAGGATGAGAATGCGTTGAAAAATCTCTCAGAAGCGCTCCTTTTCTACCATCCCAACACGTTACACTTTAGTGATATAAGTGTTAAAGTAAACTGCTACCAAATATGCCAACCATTACTGAAACACATTTACTGACAAGCATATGCAATTATTAATGTCCAGTTGAGTGAGATATGTACTTACTGCAACCTACTGAGCTATTCTTGAGCACCCCTAAGACTGAAAGCCTACATTTATTCAATATTTTGCCTATTTTAAAGCTTTAAGCTACCAATAAGAGTGTTCTCAGCTTAATTTTAACATGTTTTAGCATGTCTAAATCCGTTCCACAGATTTTCCTCTAATATCGGTGCAAAAAAAAAAAAAAATCGGGTGTTGTCTAGGATTATTGATTCTTTTGCATTGAGTGGAAAATTGTCCTCTACAGAAGAAAAATTATATGTTAGGCTTATCTTGGTTGAGTGAGGCAGTCGTGGACTGTATCTAAATTGGCTCGTGGCTGGAAATAAAGCTCTTCAAATACCTGACATGGCTGCTGTGGGCTCTCTGAGGTCAGTAAATGATGGTATGATAGTGTGTCATCTGCTTAGGGCGGATGTGAAATGGAAAGAAATGAGAAGATTTTTAGCTTTTTGCAGGATTTTAATGACTTAGTGGGGTGGTGATGGTGCAGCGGATAAGACACATGCATTTGGTGTGAGTGACCCGGGTTCGAATCCACTGCGAGACACAAATGTGTCCCTGAGCAAGACACTTAACCCCTAGTTGCTCCAGAGGCGTGCAACCTCTAACATATAGCAATAGTAAGTCGCTTTTGGAAAAAAGCGTCAGCTAAATGAATAAATGTAAATGTAATGCTTGTGGAATAGTCACCATTTTCTATTATTACCATGAAGGATTATATTTTTTAACTTAAAAAAAAAAAATCTTTCGTCAAATCTTCACCTGCCTCTTTCAGCAACATCTCTTGTCTTTTCTGGTGACGTGTTTACTGGCGCTAGAGTGGGACAACCCGTCACTGACATGAGATCAACCAATAGCAAACCACAATCTTCCAAACAATTCCCTGTTGACAAAATCAAGGCTCACCCTACATTTTTCTTATTTCAAATCCTGTTTCAATCAGAAAGTAAAAGTCTATCGCAACTTCTGTATTATGTCGAATTTTAATAAGAAGTTTGTAGAGGCAAGCAAATGGAAAAACACTGCCATGAGTGGAACTTCATCTAAATGTTAAATGCTGATTTCTTCATACCTAACCCCTCTCTTTCTCTCTCTCTCTCTCTCTCCACAGATATCCTGCAGTATTACCTCACATGTAACGTGGGTCAGATCAACCCCTACCAACAGGTAACCACAGATGTTAAACTATCCATTTAATTATTTGATTCAGATTTTCTCTATGAACTAAATCCCTGACCTTCAAACCTCTGAGAGATGTCCTCAAGATTCCCAATGCAAAGGCTTTTGATAACTGTAAAATTAAACACCCTTATAGATTCCTCTTTTGGCTTAAGGAGTAGTTCACTTTTATGGAACTACTAGTAGTTCACTTTTATGGAGTAGTCCATGTCTTTCTTTCTTCAGTCGAAAATAAATTAAGGTTTTTGATGAAAACATTCCAGGATTTTCTCCATATAATGCACTTTATTGGTAACCAAATGGTTCAAGGTCCAAATTAGAGTTTCGGTGCAGCTTTAAACGACACCAGACGATGAATAAGGGTCTTGTCTAGCGAAACAATCGCTCATTTAAAAAAATAAATAAAAAAGTTTACGTTTTATAAGCGCAAATGCTCACCTTGCTCAGTTCTGTGATGAGCGTTCGTGACTCTCCTGTTCAAACTTGTTCATCAAAATGAACAAATCTTTTTTCGAGTCCTAGATAAGACCCTTATTCATCGTCTGGTGTCGTTTAAAGCGTTAATAAGGTTATAGTGAAATCACAGATAGTGACAATATCTCTAACTCTGACAATTTTTAAAAAAAATTCTTTAGCAATTCAAAATGATTTTTTTTTTTGGGTTTAAATATTTTGCAAATATTAAGTCTTATTTTAGTATCATATTCTGTTATTTATCGTTATTTTTAATTAGCTTTATTATCTATTTAACTGTAACTTATTTTTATTTAACTTTTAGTAATTGGTCATATTTTGTACGTTCTTTTGTACGTTTTTCAACTGATATTAATATTTATTGATTTCAGCTTTAATTCAGTTGCTGAAACCGATTTTGATTAGTTTTAGTTTACAATACCATCACTCATGCTCTGGAAGAATTAACTTCGTCCTGTGCACGTAACATTAGGTGTGAGGGACCATTAATGTTGTTTCTGTAAAGAGTTTGATTTCATTGTGTTAAGGAAGCTGCCTTAGATTGTAGTTGCCAGTGTAAACAATAGACAGCGAGGCATCTCACTGGTCTTTGGAAGACAGCCAATCTTCTCCCTCCTCTCACTCACACGCCCCCTGCTTCATTTGTCCCTGTACATTAGCATTCTCCTCGTAGCGAGAGCTCGATGGAAATGCATGTTCCTTTGGCTTCCTGCCTCTCCCTTTAGTTAATGAAGTCCTTCTCCAAGTCTTTATTTGACTAATGCATGTGTATAATTCAAACAAATCGCAGCTCTTAACTGATCATGATTGATGGATTATGTCAGTGACAGCTCCATTGTCTTGATATCACTTCATTTGAATGAAGGCTAATGTCCATATGGAGATTGAACGTTGTACTTTGTCAGCTGATGCCTCTAAATGGAGTTCCTCCAGTTCTCATTCAGTATACAGATGAACTCTGCCTGATTCACATCTGAGACTGCAAATAAGTGAAATGGATATTGATTTTTGGCTTGAAAAGTCATCCAGGAACATTTAAAGAACATTTAACGAGAAATGTTGAAGATTCTACAACCAATTGAATGCTTTATAATCCAAACATCAGCTACTTTGATATCCACTGTCTTCTAAGGGGCTGTTCACACAAAACTGTTGTGTTTTTAAAATAACTGAAAGTTGTTGCTTAACTTATTTTGATGAGTTAAAGCAATGTAAAAACATACGTTGTCATAACTTATTGATCATATATATTTTTTAGGGCTGTCAGTTAAACGCGTTATTAACGGTGTTAACGCAAATCCATTTTAACAATGTTAATTTTTTTTATCGTATGATAACGGTCTTTTTGGTCTTGCAAACCTTAGTTTTCTTTCACATGCTTTTGCAACAGGACACGGCATGCGCAAGCTGCGCTATGAAACCCATTCATTTCAATGGCTTGGGCCGCACGAGGACATTTTGTGAGTCTGATGGTACAATGTGTCTTGTCCACGACAAGATTTTAGGAGTCAAAATCGCCTAATCTGACACAGTGAATATCGTAACAGTCAAAACAAATCGTGTAATCTGAACCAGGCATTAGAAGATGCACTTTGTGTTGCTCAAATATGGCAGCATCATTTTGGAACAATGTTGGAACAGCGTTTGTGTGTTATTGCTTTTCATAATTCCTGCCCAACTTCCTGCTAGCGTCACGCTTTTCACTTTCAAATTTGCGATCACGTTTACTCGGTGTATAGGCCTATAATTTGTGGGTATAAAGGAAGCCTACCTTAAGCTTTTCATAGCTGCTGGCTTTTGACTTCAGAAGTTAGTTTCTAGTTATTTTGCCCGCACGTAACACTGTAACCAAAAGTCTTCTGTGCGCCCTGTAAAAGAAGGTACTTTCACTACTTCTTTCTCAATGAATGTCAGAAAACAAAAAAAAATTCCAGCCTATCATTTGTAGAACTGTTGACAGGCAAAGCTGACACAGTGGCCATTTGGCATATCAAATATTCATGTTCAAGAACACTGCTCTTGAAATATTCCATGACAGTTTAAAATGTCCTTAATGGCTGGGTACAAGAGCCTGTACTGACTTTTGCTGCTGGGTGTAAATGCACTGTTGCATTATTCAAGCATTTCTGACTCCTGCTGCAGGACTAAGAGTGGAGTGTGCAGTGGTGAAGGAACTCTGAGGAAATACGTCTACACTTGGCCGGAAGTGGCAGTCGTGCAACACACTTTATATTACCTGTTTCGCTCTTAAAGGGATAGTTCACTTTGAAATTAATTTTTGATATGTTTTAGCTTACCTCAAGGGAATGCAAGATATAGGTGTCTTTGTTTCCACAGTATTTTCAATTTTGGTATTTTTAGGTCAAACCGTTCTTGTCTGTCTGTCTTATAATGGAGGTATATGGGGTCCACCTTAGAGAGCATGCACAGAGAAGTCCAAATAAACATGATTTAATGACTCGTGAATGTAAGTACACATTGATGGCCTAAGACACGAAACGAGCGGTTTGTGTGCGAAAACGTCAGATTTTATCTGCTTAAGACAAAAAATAACAAAAGGTGTTTTGAATCAGTAATATAAAAAAATCACGTTTGAATTAGGCAAATATGGATTACATGGTAAAAAAATGTCAGTAAAATTTTTATAATTTTGCTAAATATTTCTATTTTAAATAAATGCTTTTCTTTTGAACTTTCTATTTATTAACGAATCCTGAAGAACGATTTATCACAGTTTCCACAAAAATAGTAAGCAGCACGATATTCTAATCACATTAGAATGATTTCTGAAGGATAATGGGATAATGTGACACTGAAGACTGGAGTAATGATGCTTTTATTTATTGTTTACCGGTAATTTTATTCCAATAGAAAACGGTTCTATTTTTTTTTTTTTTTTAAATCTTACAAACCTCAAAAATTTGAACAAAAGTGGCCATACCAAGCTATAGTCTTGTAAATATAGTTATGAGATGTGTGTGTAAATAAGCAATTTATATAAAATACTATTTCTGTTTATTTTAATAGTTATTTTTCAACCAATATCTTTTAGTTTCAATTTATTTGTATTATTATTTGTTGCATGTTTGAGTTTATCTAAAATATTTTAGATAATATTAACTGTGTGTGTATATATATATATATATATATATATATATATATATATATATATATAAAATGCTGATTCCTATACTTTCTTTTCTTCTCTGTGCTCTTGTCCAAAAAAAATGGAGTAAACTTAAAAATGTTCAAAATTAAAATGTAGATTTTTGAATCAAGTTTTTATGAAGAGTAAAAGCTTCTCTATATGATAACATTTGCACAAATCATATAACTGATTTCTTGTTTCGTCTTGTAGAAGATGTCAGGAAGTCACAAAGCACTGGTGGAAATGCAGGACGACGTCTCAGAACTACTGCGCTCTGCAGTCCGAGAATACCCCAACACTAAGGTGAGCACTAATTCCTGATACACAAATGTTGTGTGTGTTTTGTTTTCCCCCCTCCCACTGGGCCTCTGTCATTGTGAAGCATCTGTGTGTGTTCTGGCACAAAGTGATGGCTGACATTCATTCAGTACATGTGAGAAAGAAAGCCGTCCTCTCGCTGGAACACAAGCGTTGAGAGAAAATGCTGAATCAATGGAAATATTTCACCCTTAGAACCAGCTAAAATCTGTTTACCACTGCAGCTTTATACAACTTAGACCTCACACAACACTGAGCCTTGAAAAGAAAGAAAACAAGCCGCTCTTCTTTGACATCCTTCTATGTGAATGTTTTTGGTTGTCATGTGTTTGCTGCCATCATGTGCTGAACTCATAAAAACTGAATAGAGTGTTAAAATTGTGAAATGTTTGAAATTGATAAATATATACACTAAAAATATTTACTGACCCCAAACCTTTGAACTGTAAAGTAATGTATGCTTTATTTTGCAAGGATACATTACATTAATCAAGAGACTTTTCTATTTTTTTTTTTTTTTTTTCATTTTGTAGTCGTCAAAGTTCACAATTTCTATGAAAATCTTAATCAGCACAATGAGTAATGATGCTTAAAATTCAGCTTTGCATCACTGGAATAAATTACATTTTATAATTTATTCTCATAGAAAAGAGTTATTTTGATATTTCAAAATAATCCTCTTTTACCATATTTTGATCAAATAAATATTCAAGCTTTTGAACTGTGGTGGATACCTAGCATATACAGTAACCATGTTTTTGTGCTTGTTTTTAGGGAAACCTTGAGCAGATTCAGGGGGTTTTGAACACCACTGAGGTTGGACTGCACCAGCTCACTGCCCTCGTGGACTGCCGCAGTTTGCATATGGTGAGAAATAGTGTTTGTTTTTAGAGTATATGACCACTTTGCACATCCGCTTCCACTCTGACTCAAAGTAAAGCACTTCTTGCCGAGATTTTCACTGTAACCTCAACCTGTGGGCTTCTGTTGACATGAAAAACCCAGCCTGCAATCCACTCACAAACAAACACTCAAACTGGTCTTCTATCTGCTAACCTCACCAGCACTTACTGCGGCAGTCTGGAGCCTGTCCTCTTTTCCAAGATGGAAATATCTGATATTTCAGGATTCAGCATGACTAGAGTTCCTCTTCATGGCTGAAAGACAGAGTCCTGCTGTGTGGGTGGTCCTGAAAATGCATCTCCTTCCCATGAGAACAGAAAGTAACGGATAAAATCTGGACTTTTGGAGATGTATTATACATTATTAATGGTGTTTTCATACTGCAAAAGCAATAACACCCTTCACAGGCGTCCAAGCCGTACATCTGGGCTGTATGAGGGAGAGTTTGTGCCGGAGATGCAGAACAGTGCCGGCAGTAATTACAAATGGAGCAATTTTGCTGTTAATAATGACGGTAATTTGCAGGAAGTTAGAGAGTCTAGCACTGGATGTTATCATATCTTCTGTTTTTATTATTCACATTCCCAGCAGAGATAGGCTGGTTTCTGGATCCATTTTGGTTCATTCAAGCAGTGCATACATGCATGCATGCATAAATACTAGGGATGGGGCGATTACCGGTTTCAAGATAAACCATGATAAAATATACTGGTTAGTATTATCGTTTAAAATTTAATTATCATTAAAGCCGTGATTTAATGATAATTAAAATCATTTAATGATTTTAAAAACTCGCTGTAAATCCTGTCCTACCAGCAACAGTCTGACGCAGTTTTTTTTTTATTATTATTATTATTTTTTTTTTTTAAAAAATAATTATTCGAGAAGGAATGGTGGAAGGCAGTGACCGTGCTCGAGAGATTTTTCAGCCTTTTAAGAGGACCAAATCTGAGGTGTGGTCATATTTTGGCTTTTACAAAAGTCCCGAGGGAAACTTGATTGAGGATGGTCACCCTGTCTGCCAAACAAAAAGTCATCATGATAATCACCAACTGTTGTATAGCGAACGCCACGCAAGTTAACTTTGACCTCAATACCAAAACTATGTCTGTATGAAAGCTTGTTTCTTCCAATGAATAAAAATAAATAAATAAATAATTGCGATAAACAATTGCGAGATATGAAGTCAGAATTGTGAGAAATAAAGCCGCAATTGCGAGATATACTGTATAGTCGCAATTCTGAGAAATAATTTCGCAATTGTGAGAAAACAAGACAGAATTTAGACTTTTTATCTCACAATTCTCAAATTTTGGACACTATAATCGTGATATGAAATTTTCATACCGTCCCATCCCTAATACATACATACATACATACAGTAGTCAAAATTTGAAGTGGATCAAAACAATTCATCATAGTTGTCTTAAGAAAAGAACGGGTAATGTTCAAACTTGTATAACTTTGATAAAAGTTTGATCCACTTCAAATGTTGACAACTGTATATATTCTATTCTTTATCAACTACATGAAGTGAATTAAACATCACATTATATCAGAGATTCCTAGACTGGGGTTGAACTGTAGGGGGTTTAAATTGTGCAGTTTAATGAAAAGCTGACAATTAAAATAAATCCAAAGACAGAGTAATACGTAATTAAATGACTTGCTGAGTGATAATTCAAATAATAATGAATGTGTTCGACAGGAGTTGATTATATATGCAATATGGTGATTCTGAGAAAGTGCTTCTTAAAAGTGAAATGGTTTATGTAAATTCAATGTCTGTGTGGCATCAGTGGCTGGTGTGTGTGAACGAATATAAGTGGTAGGCTTTTTAGAAAGGAAAATTCGAATTAGGGAGGATCAATAAATTCTGAATGATTTACTGCCATTGTGTGAATAATATTTTATCAGCATCATGTTATTCAAAACCTTTGTTACCTTTATGCTTCCACCGATGAAAGAAAGTCAATGATGGCAGTGAGTTAATGACCGAATTTTCATCTGTGTTTCATCTGTGCTGCCTCTGTCTGTGTCTGTGCAGGATTATGTGCAGGCATTGACCGGAGTGTGTTATGATGGGCTGGAGGGTCTGATCTACCTGGTGCTGTTCTCATTCATCACTGCTCTCATGTTCACCTCGGTCATCTGCAGCGTGCCGCACACATGGCATGGCAAAAGGTGAGATCTTTATAAAATATGTATATAAGTGGCCCAAGTAATGTTTATCTTATTTAATTATAATTGAATAAATTTACTGATGGAATGCCAATAATACTAGTTTATTTATAGTCAATAATCAATCTGTGTGAAGTTGCTAAAGTTATGTAAATGTAAATAAGGCTTTAAAGGAGTAGTTCACTTTAAAAAAAAAAAAACTTTTGCTGATAATTTACTCACCCCCATGTCTGATAATTTACTCACCCATCCAAGATGTCCATGTCTTTCTTTCTTCAGTCGAAAAGAAATTAAGGTTTTTGATGAAAACATTCCAGGATTTTCTCCATATAATGGACTTCAATGGGAACCAAACGGTTCAAGGTCCAAATGAGAGTTTCAGTGCAGCTTCAAAGGGCTTTAAACGACACCAGACGATGAATAAGGGTCTTATCTAGGACCCTTCGAGTCATGACTTGAAAAAAGATTTGTTAATTCTGATGAACGGGTTCGAACAGGAGAGTCACGAACGCGCATCACAGAACAGAGCAAGGCGAGCATTTGAGCTTAAAGGGTTAGTTCACCCAAAAATGAAAATTAAGTCATTAATTACTCACCCCCATGCTGTACCAACCCCGTAAGACCTTCGTTCGTCTTCGGAACACAAATGAAGATATTTTTGATTAAATTTGAGAGCTGTATAACTACCACATTGGCTCCTAAGGGACTGCCTCTTGACGGCCCAAAAAGTCAATGAAGAAAATGTTTAAATATCCCAAGTGACTACCGTGGCTCAACTATATGTTTATCAAGCGACGTGAATACTTTTTGTGCGAAAAAACAAACAAAAATAACGAGTTTATTCGACTATTTCTTTTCTTCCTTGTAGGCCAGAACGAGAATTCCTTAGATTTCCACGACGCATGCGCGAGATTTGCGATCTGCTTACACCAGATTAGATCGCAATTCTCGCGCATGCGTCGTGGAAATCTATAAGGAAGTCTCGTTCTGGCCTACAAGGAAGAAAAGAAATAGTCGAATAAACTCGTTATTTTTGTTTGTTTTTTCGCACAAAAAGTATTCACGTCGCTTGATAAACATATAGTTGAGCCACGGTAGTCACTTGGGATATTTAAACATTTTCTTCATTGACTTTTTGGGCCGTCAAGAGGCAGTCCCTTAGGAGCCAATGTGGTAGTTATACAGCTCTCAAATTTAATCAAAAATATCTTCATTTGTGTTCCGAAGACGAACGAAGGTCTTACGGGGTTGGTACAGCATGGGGGTGAGTAATTAATGACTTAATTTTCATTTTTGGGTGAACTAACCCTTTAAAACAAACTTTTTTATTTAGTTTCGATATGACCGATCGTTTCGCTAGATTAGACCCTTATTCATCGTCTGGTGTTGTTTAAAGCCCTTTGAAGCTGCACTGAAACTGTCTTTTGGACCTTGAACCATTTGGTTCCCAGTAAAGTCCATTATATGGAGAAAATCGTGGAATGTTTTCATCAAAAACCTTAATTTCTTTTCGACTGAAGAAAGAATGACATGGACATCTTGGATGACATGGGGTGAGTAAATTATCAACTTTAAACACGCCAAGCAAAAAGTGAATCAATTCCTCAGTGTTATCTCTATCTACCATTTTATAATACAGTATGCATCTGTTAGTGACCTTATGCTATATATTTCTGTATTCATATCACTAATACCACTGTTTTAAAGCATTAAATACGCATTATCTGGCTTGTACTCTTTCCTTTGAAAGGTGCAGTTTTGTTATTGTCTAAAAACGTACTGTTCTTTTCCCATGCATACTTTTGGTATGACACATTCATTCAGTGGAGCATCCTAATTTGTGTAGTTAAATACACTCAAGAGGATTAAACCAAAGATAAAACAACAATGGAAATGGTTAGTGGTATGTGTGTGTGTGTCCGTGGGCATTGTTGCAAAGACTGTATGGTCAGACACCTCATGTTCCCAACACACTCTTCGGTCCAGAGCAAAACGGATACAGCTGCCTCGCTCCATCTCTCCCCCCCCCAAATGTTCCTTCCTTTTAAGCGCTCTGTGTGGGAAACACATCTTCCTCCCATAATTACTCCTCCCAAATGTAATAATTCCCCGGCCTAGACCCATGCAGTTGCTCTGCCAGGACAGGCTTGCGTCAGGCAAACAAGATTACATTGGGAGAGATAGAAAAGACAAAGACGCCAGCTTTGGCACATTATGTAATTATCATCACACTCATAAGTGTACGTCTCATAATACACAGCTATTCACACTACCTCTTCATTATAGATAATTAGCCGTTTCTGAATATGAGTTTAGGCAGGCTGTGGCAGGCAGTGCAGTGTCGAGGTAGAAACCGTACGGAGTGTTGGGAAAAATCGCTGCATGCGTTTTTATATTCAAATACCTTTTTGTCTGCATTAAAGGTGGACTTAGACATTTTTTTCCGGATTTATAAAATAATAGGACTGTTTTAACAATAAAAAGCTTAAAATTATTTGCAGTGACATTAGTGTCACAAAAGTGTTAAACAAAAATTGTATCATTATACAGTTGTCATGTTTTTCTTTCTGCATAGAAACGTTCACCTTTGTCGACAATACCACATTCACACTTTATGCCAATGATAATAAGTTTCAAGTGTTGGCTACATTAGTACAGAAGCTAAACTATTGTACATTGAGTGGTGATAAATAAAATCGAGTTTGTAAACGATTCATCAATTTATGTACCACCAATGAGCAGCAGAGGGCGGCCCACATAAACAGTGTGGAGCTGTTTTACAGTCCTGCTGATCGTGTTTATTTTACTCCCTCTGGTTTCCATCAGCTTTTTCATCCACGTCCATTAAGCTGAAGCAGTCTTGATGCCTCCCATTCTGTTCCCAATCATATAAAATCGATCAGCAGACACAGGAGAACAGACTGTTAAGTGTAATAGTCATTGATGCAGGTATTTGTGTGATTCCAAGCTTTCCCTCAAATGGTAATATGTCCTCCCTCTGAAGAGGAAATAGAGCGAATTACTCTGCTGTCTTGTTCTCTGTGCCTGAAACAAATCAGACTTAGGATGGCAAACACATGCCTGTGTGTGGATTTAATGTGCTCTTCCTGTTTGTCGTCAGAAACATAGCTGAGATCGCCCTCTGCTGTCCAGACCACAGTGTGACATGCACGTCTCTTAATATTTATGATTCATAATTTCTTCCCCATTCTTAATGGATTCATCCATTTATCTAAATTGTTGTTGTTTGCTATTTTGATATGTATGATCAGTGACATCTGAGTTTTGACAGTGCTTGTCTGCTATCCGCAGTGTCTAACTGGCAGTTTTACTCCAATTCACACTCCCACCGCGATCATGGCTCGCACTTTCAGTGAGGCGACTTCACGGCAATTCACAACTTGCGTGACATTGGGTTCTGTTGAAAGGCTAAACAGAAATGTTGAAACGGATGTCCGGTGAAACTATGAATTATCACCATTCAAACCAATTTGATCTGATGGATCTGTCCCGGTATTGAGTCACAACAGTTTTGTGTCAAGGCTTGTTGAAACTAACAGTAATTTGTATGTTGTGTGTGTTTGTGCAAACAGGCCTGAAGAAGACAGTGAGGAGGAGTCCGTGGCTCATGGAGGCAGACAGAATCATGATAACCTGTACCGAGTGCACATGCCAAGCCTCTACAGCTGCGGCAGCAGTTACGGCAGCGAGACCAGCATCCCTGCAGGAGCACACACCGTCAGCAACGCTCCCGTCACGGAGTACATGTGAGTTACGCACAACAACAACAACCCATGCAGTCTTTGTACACATTCAGGTCACCTTTACCCTTCTGTGAACGATCCACGGGGTGTTTTGTAGAAATAGTTCAATCATCACTTTGTCCGATGTTTCTTACCGATATCTCCACATTTCTACTCGATCGCTTTTTGATTCTTCCATGTGCCACCACATAAACATTGGGAAAAAAGAAAAAGTACATTTTGATTTACTAGGTGGCATGACAGTAGATGAGTGGTTTGAGGAACAATTTGGAGAGACTAACCTTCAAATGGTCTTCGTTTCCTGCATACACTTCTGGGCTTCGGGGTCTATACGACCCCAAGTGATTGAGTAATTGTACAAAAATATACATTTTTAATCATACAAATATATATTTTTTTTGTTTGTTTACTTCTCATCTATTCATTAATGCTGTGTTTTTGGAGATATATATAAGTACTTTTGTATCCATATACCACACAATTCCTCAACTACACCATTAGCTTGCATGTTATTTTGATACATTGCATTTATGCTCTAGTACTAGGCCTTCATTTCTGTGTAAACATTTTCAGATTTATGCCAGATTTTTTTTTTTTTTTTTTGACGCATGAAGAAAATATATTTAGTTTTTTGTTTGTTTGTTTGTTTGTTTTTTCACATTTCCCATTCATTTCAATGTGGGGTCATATTGACCCCGAATACCAGAAGTGTAAACTTTTTTTTTTTTTTTTTTTTTTACATACCTTCAGAACAACCAAATCAAGCCCATTTTTTTTTGTGTGTGTGTGTGTGTGTGTGTGTGTGTGTATAGATAATGTATGAAGTCACAAAATCTTATTCCACTGAGATGAAGGGAACCTTTTTTTTAATTAAGTAAAAGTCAATTGGGGTCGTATAGACCCCATGACCCGATTGTGGGCTAATACAAATATTAACCGTCATGCTCAAGTGCTGAAATATAACATCGATACATTCGGGAAGACTCGTAATGAAAAACGATACCGTGCAGCAAACCCAATGGGCAGTGAAATGCTTCGGTGACTGGTGTATTGAAAAGGGTTGCAGCATTGATTTTAAACAAATCACCAAGAGGGAACTCAACGCACTTCTCCATGTATTTTTTTATTTGAGCTTTCATGCATATTACACAGTGGAACAGTGTTGCTGTTCACAGTCAGGGACTTTTTTTTCTAGTGGAAGGAAGGGTTTTAGTGATTTTACTTCATGAAATTTGCAATAATACTTTTTTAGCAATGCATTTCTAACATTTTATAATGGGTTTAGAATTTTTTTTTTCAGAATTGCCTTTAATATTTTTATTGTGTGGTAAACGTTTTATAAAAGCAATAAGGTGCTCGAGGCTGGTGCTGTGTCATGAATAAGTCACAGCTGAAGGGCGTTGTTAGGCACGAAGTGATACAGCACAGCCTCTCGAACCTTATTGTTTAAATAAATCATGAATTTGTTTAAAAGTATTATTATGTTTATTATTATTAAACTTACCTTATTATTATTACTAGTGCAAAATGCCTGTGCAAAGCGATATATTTAGCGATATCTTTTGCATTTCTAATCTAAACAACGTAAAACTCGGCACTGCACTTACTCGTACCCGTAGCAAGACACTTGTCAAGTTTGAGATCCATTGGACGAGGGTTCGAGAGATATGCGATTAACAGACAGACACACACACAGAGACGTTCCTGTAATTTATAGATAGATTGATAGATTGATAGATCGATAGATTGATAAATTGATAATTATTATTATTTTAATATAATTAAAAATACTAGCAATTGTTATAATAATTAAAACCATATTGTTGTATTGTAGTAATAATAATAATAGTTATATAGTAATAAATTCATGATTTATAATAACTAGAATTATTTTATTTGTAAAAAAATAATGTTATTGTTAAGACAGTCAATGCATATTATGTTTCTATTGTTATAATAATTATTAATTCTCTTTCAAAGATATATGGATTGGATATAAAACCACAATTTAGTTCTACACATTAGTTATCAGACATTGAAACAAACAAAATCAGTATTCATCCATCGTAAAAAAAAAAAAAATAAATAAAAATAGTTGGCTGATTTCATCCCGTTCAAGCTGATGGCTGCCCTGCCTGTGTCTCTCACACCATATGTGCTGCACACGAGCAGGACTGAACCTTGTTAGGGATGTTTTCAGCAGCTGGGCCCTGCCGTCGACCGCTCCATATGTGTGCTGTCTTGAACAGGGGATGAGAGATCCTCCGAGAGAACCTCAAACCTGCTGGGGTGAAACAGCTTCTCCTCTCCTGAGGGAGGAGGGCTAGGAGAGGGATATGGGCTACCTGTCAGAATGTTACGGGTGGAAAAAAAAAACCAGCAAAAACTTCCTAAAAACACACAAGACAAGCAGTACTGTTCAGGAAGAGAGATTGCAATGGAATTTAAAAAAAACTCTTTTTGTTTTATATTAAAGTAGCGCAATATTATGACATTTCTATTAAAAATAACAAAAGTGAGGTCAGTAATTTCTTTCTTTTACTTTAAAATATATATATATATATATATATATATATATATGTACTTTTTTTTAATTTATCCTAGGATGCATTGATGATAGTAAAAAAGATGACAGTAAATACATTTATAATAATGTTATAAAAGATTTCTGTTTCAAGTAAATCCTCTTTTGAACATTTAATTAAAGAATCTTAAAATATAATAAGCATAAATTTCAAAATTGATCATTAGAAAGCACCAAATCATGTTGAAATATATAGAAATACAAATTTTTTACTTTTAATTTTTCATAATATGGCACTCACTGTATTTTATATCAAATAAATGAAGCCTTGGTGAGCAAAAAAGACTTCTTAAAAAAAAAAGAAGAAGAAAAAAATCTTACCGACCCCAAACTTTTGCACCGTAGTGTAATTAAACAAGTACAATAAATTTGAAATAGATCTGTAACAATAATGCTGGAGTGTTTTGGATCTGTGTAAAGTGTGCGTGTCTCATTTCCAGGACCCAGAATGCAAACTTCCAGACCCCTCGCTGTGAGAACACTCCTCTGATCGGGAGAGAATCTCCTCCTCCATCTGTAAGTACCTGCACTCGTCCAACACGCGCACAAATCACAGAGTCATTTTGACAGCCTGAATGCTTAAATATTCACCATAAATGGCACATTCGGTTACACTTTATTTTAAGGTGACGTAGTAATGTTGTACGTACTTACTACACAGTTGGGGTTAGGGCTTGGTTTAGGGTTATTTACTTGTAATTATGCATCATTTACAGTTATTACTATAGTAAGTACATATAGTAGCGTGTAACTATGTCACCTTGAAATATTGTTACCACACATTCTTATAGTTTGCCTGTGTAAATCAGTGATCTCCCCCACTGTAGTTTCATCACTGTACACAGCAAGTCATTACAAAAGACCCTTGAGCCCTGAAATCTGTGCAAGTAAATCAAGTCTTTGTGGATGATTGAGTAACTGACCACAGACCTCTAAAGCCAACTGTTGTTGGCCAACCGTTCCATAGTGAGAACTTCTTGCCTTGCTTGACCACGCTTACAAAACTGGAGATTAATAGCATTGATTTTTCATATGTGAGGAAAAGGAGAAGAGGGATTTCGAGCCAGCTGCCCACTCACCAACTCGAAACGCTTGGATAGCGGAAGTGAGATGTCAACGCGGTCACCTGTTGTTGGTGAAATCATGCTGTTACACTCACCATTTAGAAACGATTGATTAAATGAGTGCCTTCGACATTTCACATAGACCTCTCATGTGTTTTTAACACCTTACTTTGGCAGCTGATCAATATGATTCTTCCAAAATAAGAACTGGATCGCAATGCAAATGTAGGAGAGCACCATGGACGACAATCGTTCTGGACTGTTTGCTATTATCATTTTCTGCGGCAAAAAGTAAAACCAGGATGTAGCTTGAAGTTCAGACACTATTTTGGCAGTCTCATTCTTGTCTCTGCAAGAATCCAGCAAACAAGAAACAAACTTGATTTGGTGGGACTGTTAGCGTTTGCTCACTGATAGACACTGAGAATGTGTGCACATAAAGGCGCTTTTCCACTGCATAGTACGGTACAGTACGGTTCGCTTCAGGTCGCTTTAAATGGTACCTGGTCTGTTGAGGTTCCAAGCGTACCGTACCGGTACTAAAATGTGACGTGAAACACTGCAGATCACTGATTGGTCAGACAGAATCGTCACTACCAGCGTCACTACTAGCGTCATTGGATTTGCGACACGAGACACTTTTTTAGCAGTATTTTTGTTTTGCTGCCATCAGCCTCATTTTAAACACATTTTTCCGTCTAGCAGTTAAAAACAACCACATACCGAGAATCAGGAACACCATCCGCTCGATAGTCTCCATTGTTCCTGTGTTGTGGGTTTGAAAATGTGGCGCTTTTAAGATGATGTCATGGCAGTAGAGGCGCGCGCAAATAACGATCAGTCCCACACACTTTGAAGGGGTACTGCTGCAGTGGAAACGAAAAGCGATCCGAACTGTTCCGCGCCGAGTCGAAGCGTACTGGGCCGAACCGTACCGTACTATGCAGTGGAAAAGCGCCATAATTAACTAGTTAAGTAATTGTTCTGCACCACCTCGTATACTTGTAAAAACATTATAAATTGATTTTTTCCTTTAAACAACTATCTGCTGTAAGCACCAAAATAAACATTTCCATTGAGTTACTTCAGACTCGGCTCGGCTCGCCTTTAAAAAAAAGTTGTACCTGTTCCTGCTTTCGGGTACTTTTTTTGTATCACCTCCGGCGAGGTTCTAAGTGAGCTAAGGCGATACTAAAATGTGACGTGAAAACAATGCCGACTGCTGATTGGTCAGAGAGAATCGTCATCATTACACGCACCAGATGGAGTATCCAGAATAACCCCGCCATTTTTAAATAGTTTGGTCAGAGATAGTTATTAATCTTACTACTATTATTATGGAAACTCCGTGGTCAAACGAGGAGGTGCAGACTTTCCTTAGTTTGGTTGCCGAAGAGAGGATCTAGCGAGAGCTTGATAGGGCAACGAGGAATGAAAGACGTCGCTATGACGACCAGGTAGTATTTATGGCGGTACTGTCTGCAATGGAAAACAGAGCGAAAGTCGAGTCGGTACTGGTAATGGAAATCGACATGAAATTGTAATGGCACTGTGGATACTTGATGTTAAAGTTAGGATAATGGTGTGTGCATTTGACACATGCAAATGCAGTGTTGGGGAAAGTTACTTTTACTGCATTACAATATTACGTTACTCCCTATAAAAGTAAATAATTGCATTAATTAGTTGCTTTTGTATGGAAAGTAGTGTGTTGCGTTACTTTTGCTTTTTCTCACCTACGCTTACTTGTTTGTTTTTTAATAAATAAATTTAAAAAAGGCTTTTTCACACCAAAAGTGAAATGAATAAGCCTCAAGGCCATTGCACATTGAGTCCGTAATTTTTCGTATGTGTTTTTTCTAGGGCTGTCAAATGATTAATCACAATTAATTGCATCCAAAATAAAAGTTTGTGTTTACATATGTTATTATATATATATATATATATATATATATATATATAAATTTACACACATGCTTGTATATATTTAAGTAATGTTGTCATGTATATACTGTATATAGATTTATATATAAATATAAATATTTTATATATAAATAATATTTTTTTCTTAAAAATACACATGCATGTGTGTGTATTTTATATATATATATATATATATATATATATATATATATATATATGAAGAGTTCAGATGCAAAAGCCTCTAAGTGCCATTTGAAATTTTCTTCTAAAATGATCATTTTTATCAAGCTTGTATATTTAAGTTCAGTAATTTCACTTAAAGGGCAATGAAGATTACCTATTAATTGTTATTTAAGTGAAATTACTGAACTTAAATATACAAGTTTGATAAAAATGATCATTTTAGAAGAAAATTTCAAATGGCACTTAGAGGCTTTTGCATCTGAACTCTTCATATATATATATATATATATACATACACACACACAAAATAATTATACAGAGTACACCCACATATATTATGTAAACACAAACTTTTATTTTGGATGCAATTAATTGCGATTAATCGTTTGACAGCCCTAGTTTTTTCGTATTTGTGATTTGGTGGCTCTGAATTGTCAAAACATCATTCAAACTCCATTCAAACTGCTTGCCACGGATACGGAAAACGCAGAAAATCGAACCCGATTTGATTTTTTTTTTTTTTTTTTTTTTATGACGGACGAAAGTTTCGGAGGCAGTGTGCAAGCGTGATTGACATAACGTAAGGGCATATTTATTTTTTAACGTGCAAAAATTTCGGACGCGAATTTCGGACTCAGTGTGCTAGGGCCTTCAGGAAATGCAAATTCACACCTGTACAGTAGAGGGAGCAGTTCAAACAAGCCTTTCTGCTGTGCTGTTGGATTGCAGATGAAGAAATACGCAGGAGAAAGTTCAGCACTCTTAGTTTAGCAATAAAAAAAATAAACACCCATGGGATGTTTATCTAAAGTAATTTTTTGTTTATTAGTATGGTTAAATTGGATCATATTTGTATTTAATTAATACAGGTTTGCGTAATATTCTGAGTTTGCATTTAACTGCTTTTGTTCATTTTGAGAAACACTAGACCTGTGAAAACTTCAATAGAGAATGGGCCTTTTTTGGATGTGACATTTCGCTGAAAATTCACTAATGTAAACACGCTTTTACTGGCATATTTGCTTCTTGTTAGAGTCTTGCATCCCACTGGAAGAGAATCTGCTTGTATGAGAAACTCGATTGCATATGAGACCATTATCAGATTGCTTACCAGATTCGTGTATATTTTTTTTAATAGATTTTTATATAACTTGTGGGTGAATGACAATGTTTTTGTTTTTTGCTAACAATTATTGCTTGTGGTACATTTGTAAAATAAAACAAAATTGCATGCACATATAGTTTACCTGTAGTGTAGGCGAGCTACAGATTATCTGGACTTGCTGGTGTAAGTTATTCCCACTGTGTCCCCTCACACCTTTGTGTCTGGTCTTGTGTCCTCTAGACCCTGTGTGTTGAGATTTCATGTGTACATGTTTCTTGAGCTGGAGATGTCAGTGGTGTCTATCTGCTCTACAGTTTCTTGTCGTTTTCTTTTCTGCAAATCCACACAGTTGTATTTGACATCCACGGACAGTAACAGCCGTCACAGCTGGCAGTTAAAGCCATCGGAGACTTCCCGCTCGTTTTGGTAACAGCCTCAGCTATTCCAACAGGTACTCAAATGCCCCACTCCCACTTATTGGCCCACCTCCCTACCAACAAAAACAAGAAAACAACAGCGGGATTCCTCCCCAAATCACCTTCATCCCGACCCAAGCAAGCTGCCCTCGCCCCTGGTGTTTCTGTTGTGTGCTTCCCTAGTCTTGTCATCTGTTGGGGCAGCATGTTTTCCCTCCACCTGTATTAACTCTCCATGTATCTGACATAGAATCCAATTTCCAAGAACACCGAGAGGGATAAATGCATTAACAAAGACATAAAGGGAGAGCACTGCTTTTTAATTTAGTTTAGCTAATGATTAGCATCCTAAAGGTGCATTCACCCTGACAGTTATTAAAACGTTGGAGGTCATTGAGCCGCACTGCTAATATATTCAAGTCTAGTTTGAATGAATTTGAGCTCTGTCTTCTTTTTAATGGTCCCTGGCAGTCATGTTGCTAGAAATCAGCACTGTATGAAACCGAAGTTCCCTGTATTGTCACCTATTTCTGAGTGAAACGGCTTCTTGATGAAGAAAAACTGGGCGGGACTTGATTTTGTCCATGGGGAATTGATTGGATTGTTGTTGTTTGCTGCTGTGATGTCATTTGAGTGACCAGTTGCTCCGCTCTTTACGCATGTAAACACGTCATCAGAGAAGAGAAGAGATCTTGCTGCACAGGGAAGTTATTTTGTTTCAAGTTTACAAAGGCAATTTAAAAAATAAAAAATAAAAAGAGTGCACGGATAAATCATTTAAAATAAATACTGCAATAATCCATAAATGTAAGAATGTGACTTTATAGTGACAAACATCCAAGAAATAGGCATGAAACGCTGCGGAAAAGCGAGTGGGAAGAAAGGATACAACACCCAATAAAATGCAGACCTACAACACTCTCATTATATAGAGTAATGAATATTCAAATGTGAATGGAGATAAAAATCAAGAGTTGGGGCAATTTGCTGTATTTTAAAAAATATGAACATATGACCAGAAACTGATAAGCATCTTATCATTAGAGATTAATGACTATCATGAAAAAATCAATTAGGTTTCGGTTCATCTGAAGAGATCTCAACAAATGAGCATTTTAAGTTTCCAGAGATATTGGTCTTTGTAACAAATGATCAACTTCTTATCGAGCTTTGTCATTGCAAAACTCTTTCAGTGGTAATGCCCGTTAAGTCTTGTGAACGATAGTAGCTTCCTGTAGCTCGATAGATTGCAACATTAGGCATGTCATGCTTTGATTAGGACTTTTTATTTATCAAAAGGAAATCAGTACTCCTATCAGGAATGCATTAATACTAGAGTCAGTATCGGCCTCATGTCGTGTTCAAATTTAAGCTTTAACTAAGTGCTGTCAGCTCCAGCCAAATTTGAGGATCAGTGTACATTGGACTTGATTGGACAGGCTTTTTGTTCATTTAGAAACAAGCTTATGTGACTGAAGGAAAAAGTTATTATGGTCTAAACTATATTGAACTATATTTTGTTTGAACAAGCCACTTTGCAAATGTATAAAATACATTCATGCTACAGTCAAAGACTTCAGTAAGAATAAGATTAGCTGAATGAAAGCAAAAGTGGCTTTACATTAGTTTGGATGTGGCATTTTGGGACTAGACATAAAAAGGAATATGTCGGTAACACTTTACTTGAAGGGGACATATGTCTTGAATATGAAGTAGGTTTTATGTTTGACAACTGTCATCAAGTGTCTTTCGCTCAAAAATGACTTTACATGAGGTCATGAGGCCGTTATCTGTGTCTTGAATATTTTTTCGTGACCTCAACTACAGTGGTACTAAGTGAATTTATGACAGGTTGTGTTGTCTTAGTAGTGTCAAGTTGTCATGACAAAGACACTGACGGGTTATGATGTATTGGTTCATGTCAAGATCTCAAACAATGTCATATTTGCATTAAAAATGTCATAACTGAGCGAATGACACTTAATTACAGTAGTCACAAACATGCATAAAACTTCCTTCTTATTCATAACATATGTCATGTTAGTCTTATGAACACCCCTTCAAGTAAAGTGTTAGCAATATGTCTCTTCATTATTGACTATTAAATCACATTGTTTGTGTTTCATAGAGTAGTTTAACTGCTTGTTGTTTTGTTAGTGAACAGTTGAAATTAGCCATTTTTGCCATTTAATTTACAACAAAAAAAAATACGAGTAGCACTAGTGCGCTCTTTACAAACCCACTAATATTGCATCTACAAGGCTGTCTAAATGATTCTAGGTGTGTTGTGGCAGTTATTATTTTTTTATTGGTTGTATCATATGACAATGTTTTTTTTTTTATTATTAATATTATTTAGCACTTTACAACTGTTTTTAACATCCACCATGGGTGATTCACTCAAAAGCGAACAGTGCTGCATTTAATTGTGAATTTAACTAACACTGTAATTGTCTCAAAACAAGGATATCAAATCTTTAAGTACAACTTTTGGAAAACATGAATTATATAGTACTGTGCAAATGTCCTAAGCATGTTATTATTTTCACCCCCCCAAAAAATGGTTTTAAGGCAGTTATTTATTCCTTTTGCTGTATGATGGTGAGATGAAATCTCCGTGCGGAGCATACCGGCTCTTGTCAGACTCCTTTTTACATACAAAAATCTCACTGGATTATAACAATTAATGGCAAAAGGAATGTTTGAAAATGTAAAACACACTACAGCAAAAGATACAAATAATTGTCTTAAAACCATTTCTTTCTTTTTTTTGCCATTTGTTATTAGCTGATGTTACAGACCATTTATAGTTTGTTGGCATCAATATTGCTTATTTAATTCTGTGTGCTAATGAATCTCAGAGTGAAAATCCATTTTTCATTCTCCACATTATTAAGTTATAATGTCTAAATGTGCTTGTGGCATTTAAAATCACTGATTTATCTTTTTCTTTTGGTATTTGGCCACAGTTTTAAAGGAGTAGTTCACTTTTAAGAAAAACTTTACAGATAATTTACTCACCCCCATGTCATCCAAGATGTCCATGTCTTTCTGTCTTTAGTCGAAAAGAAATTAAGGTTTTTGATGAAAACTTTCCAGGATTTTCTCCATGTAATGGACTTCAATGGGAACCAAACGGTTCAGGGTCCAAAAGACAGTTTCAGTGCAGCTTCAAACGACACCAGACGATGAATAAGGGTCTTATCTAGGACTCGAAAAAAGATATGTTCATTTTGATGAACGAGTTAACTTTTTATTTATTTTTTAAATGACCAATCGTTTCGCTTGATAAGACCCTTATTCATCATCTGGTGTCGCTTAAAGACCTTTGAAGCTGCACTGAAACTCTCATTTGGACCTTGAACCGTTTGGTTTCCAATGAAGTCCATTATATGGAGAAAAATCCTGGAAATTCTTCATTTCTTTTCGACTGAAGAAAGAAAGACGTGGACAATCTTGGATGACATGGGGGTGAGTAAACTATCAGCAAAAGTTTTTTTTAAAAGTGAACTACTCCTTTAATATCAGTGACTGTTCTTTGTGTAAAAGCCAAATTAAGTCTAAAATCTAAATGATTTTGTATTTTTGTTTTGTTTGTTTTTTTGTCTCCCTCCAGTACACATCCAGCATGAGGGCCAAGTACCTGGCAAACGCCCGACCCGACCCCAACAGCAGCTCCGCAGCAAACTAGAGGAACACTGTCTCCTTTCCCTTCAGTCTAAAGCCACCCCTCATCCACATCCTCTTCCCGCAGCCCAGACAAGTTTCACCCTTTTAGCCATGTTGATCTTTGATGCGTGCTCTCCTACCCAGCTGATAAAGGACGTCCTTGCATCATGTAAATACTGCTGTCAGAGGAATGATCCAGAGGCCTCTTGCGCTGTTTCCAGTTGGCCGGTTCAGTTCAGGCAGCTAGTTCGGCGTGGCGGCAGCAGAAGTGTTACTCTCAGCCCTGAGTGTTTGTGTGTGTGAGCATCTGTGATGAGTATGAACTACATTACATACAGATACATTGAGTGATGTGTGTGTGTGTTGATCCATGCTGCCCTTGCTCAGTTGTGGTGCTCTTGCCAGAGGTTCAGAAAGGTCCAGAACTGAAAAACTGGACAGGGTTTAATGCCCATAACCCTACATTCCCGTGTGGCCTCTGTCCTCTGGTCATTTGAAGTAATGTGACCTTCTCCACTTGCAGGACCAACTGCCACGTCCAACTCTATACAGTTTACATCAGTGGCATCTACTGTAATATAACTGGACCAATCTAATCTTAATAGCGTGAGAAACTCTTAAGCATTGAGAATTTCCGTAGAACTCTTGTTTTGGGCTTGGATAGCAGTTTTTAAGTTGACAAAGTGGGATGATAGCTATTTTAATGAAATGGTGTGAGAAATTAGACCAGATACATGCTCTACGCTAGTACAGAAATGCAGTATAAATGTATTGTACATCCTGTGGCCGCGGCGCTAACCTTCATTCTCAAGGGGGTGATACAGAGCCATTTGTTGTTGTTTTTTTAATTATTATTATTTATTTTGGGCGTTAGCTGAGTTCTGAAATTGCCTCCTATACACTCATTCACTATTGACTTCAGTGAATAATGAGAGTGAATTTGGACGCTTGCTGAAGACGCAATCTTCTGTCGAGACGCAGAAGTTCATTTGGAACAACACTTGTACTTGTTTTCTAGTGGCTGTTGATTGTACTTCGGTTGCAGTGCATTATGGGATTGAATGAGTGCATTCAATAATGTTCACTATATAAGGCTATAGGGGGTGATTTCAAACAGCCCAATTTTCTCCTCAAAAAGTTGCTTTGTTATGGACCGTAATGGATCTTAAAGATAAAAAATTTAAATAAGATAGTTGCGTTGCGAGTTGCAGTATGACGCATGAAATCAAGCATTTGCGTTTCTGTACTTGTGTATAGTATGTTTCAGGTCTAAATCTGTGGTTGTGGGAAGAATGGATCCTTTCATCTCATTTAAAAGCTTGAGTTTTTTGTGTGAAATTAAGGTTTGTAGATGCTGTGTAGCTAATGAAATCCTTGTTGGGGGGTTTTTCCTCAAAACACATGGGCTGCATTAAACAAACTTCTCATTTAACTTGGCTATATCCACTGCCATTGCTGGAAAACCTGGAAAAACGAGAGAATTTCACATCAAACGACCAAACCCCGATGATCTGGATTTTGATCAAACCCTGATGATTTGGACAACCTCAAACTGCATTTGCATCCGAATATTTTTCAAGAATGAATCTAATTGCTTTGTATGGTGCTGGGACCTTATCTGAACATTATTTTGTCCTAATACTGTACAAACACAGAGACACTGGGACCAGCTCAAAGAGAGGCTGGGAGAGGAGGTCGTTGTACTGTACACAATGTAAACAACATTTGAACCTTAATTTTGCTGATCGGTTGAGTCCTCAGGGAGGGGGCCACCAATATGGCGGGAAGTGAAGTCATCATCAGTGGCCTGTCTTGTTTTTTCTTCTCAAAGAAACAGAAGAGAAGACCGCACGCCTCAGTAACTTTTGCTGTAGTTCAGTGTGACTTTCAAAGCCCACAATTTCCTGGGCTTGTTGCTTCTGCACCACAAATTGCTTCTATTCCCAGAGTTGAGAGGAATCTTGCCATCCTTGAAGAAGACATAAGTGATGTGCTGTCAAAATGGATATTTTCTCCTTGATGAGAGCACAGAGGCACATGAGACAAGGCCAACAGATGGCATCTGATGTGGGTGAACTCCCTTGTCTCCTCAGATGACCTCTCTCTGGTGCTCTGGACCTCATATAAGAGCATTGGCATCATCTGTCTCACATTCACACACCTCAGGACCACATTCTTCCCTCACACTGCCAACGTCTGGATTTCAGGGCTTCTATTAGTCAAACATTTTATTAATATATATTTACATTTTAGATATTGTTCACATTTACACACACAGAGAGAACAAAGACAGCTCTAAATTAATAAGTCTCATGCTGACCCCGAGTCCTGATTTTCCATCTCATGCATGCTTTGAAAATGCGGATGTGGGACTTAACAAATGCCAATGTGACAAAGTCGCTCAAAGACTCCCGGACTTTTATGGAAACAAGCAAGAATTTGTTTTCATGGTGAAGAGAATTAAAGGGATGTATCACAGCTATAAACAAACAGCTCATTATTTGACTGAGTGTTTTATTTTCTTTCTTTTTGTTCTTTTTCTGCTTCTCAAAGCATGGTCATCCTATAAATGTGGAGTGGAGCCCATGTTGTGTGCTACTGACGCTTGCATTGGTTTCTCGGTTGATGCTTATTTTTGATCAATGACGAGGTCTGTACATCCTTGACTGTGACAATAACCAACAGCTTTGTACCTTCTGTGAATCTCTAAATGTGTTTCATGTTTAAAGTGGACTTTTTCTCTCGTGAGCTCTGCGTGGCCTGAGCAACCAAATGAGACGCCTGTGAACACGAGCCTGACGTTGTGGGAGTATCTTTATTTTTCTCTGTAAATGACCACGTTTGTGATGATGCGATCTCTGAATTTATGTCACCATTTACTCCTTGGTAATGTCTTACTGCAAAAATAATGTATTACAGTACATTAAGGAAATACCCATTAAGGACATGGAATTGTTATAGTACAAACTGATCATTTTCATTATCTTTCCTTTTTTTAGTCTGGTATATTTTTAGACATATTAGCAAGCACAAAATATTTTGTCTCTTTCATGCGAATAAATGAGTTTGGTCTTTTATCGAGATGTTTTTATATGACTTCACTGTAGGATGACTTTTTTCAGTTACTAAAATGTTGTAAATGTTTTATTGAGCTTGAACTTTAAGATTAAACCTAACATTAACTGATACATGTGTCTTATGTTTAACTATTAGCTTGTTGATCTCTCTGCTGCAGAACTTTCATTTGTAAGGTGAGTATATAATACAGGATTATAATGGTGTTTATTCTGATTAATCCAACATCATGAGAAGTGTGAAAGATCATTTATTTAATCATTTTTATCTTGTCATTAACCTTTTTTATACTGTAATTAGGCTATATCACACCATAAGCCGCACTCTTTAAAATGGCAAACTGTGATCATGGACATCATCTGTGTCACTACAGCAAAGACTACAGAGATAAATAAATAAAAAAATTTATATATATATATAGAAAATTTAGACTAAAGCAGCTTTTAGACATCTTTTTAGTGCACATGAGCTTCAGCTTAATTGTTTTGTCTTTTTTTAAGGATCAGAAATATATTTTATAACTTATTTGCTATATGAAATATAAGACCTGAGAGAGTGATAGGATGAGAATTATTTATTTTTTACAGGATAGATAGATAGATAGATAGATAGATAGATAGATAGATAGATAGATAGATAGATAGATAGATAGATAGATAGATAGATAGATAGATAAAGCTAGCTTTAACAATTAACATTCAATTATGTCTTCATGAAAGCGGTTTCTGAAATTCAAACAAGTTTTGAATGTGTTTTCCTTATGAGTGTATGTTCTCCATACTCCATTTATCTTTTATACTCAATCACTCCTCTCCTATGACTTGTGCCTATAAACGCACCGTTGACTTCGAACTGGCGTATAAACGGTCCACGGAGGCTTCCATGTAGTTCCGTCGTTTAAACACAGGAGGGCAGCATTGTGTCATTCAAAATAAAGTTGGCTACTTGGACAATTTTGGAAGGGTAGGCTATACCAGCTTACTACTTGATATAGCCTACCACCTAATATTTTTTAATAAAAGTAAGTGAAACAGTTTAATATTCCAAGAACGTTTCAAACGCTATATTGTTGTCACGTGGCTTGTGGCCATGTTTACTTTCACTGTTTCCGGTGAGTTGTCTAATTTAAACCTTTTAATAAAACGTTGTATAATAATAGTACTATTTTGTCCGTTTCAATAAGTAGGCTAATGAGTCAAGAAAGAGATGGTAAAAATTACAACAGATTCATTAAATTTACTGGAAATGGACGGTCGACTCGAGAGCATTGCATCATGGGATATATTTCTCGACATAAAGGTCTAATATTTACTGAATATTATATCATGTACTTTGACTATTCTTTAGGTAATTGTTTACGTAGGCTACTGAAAATCTGTAGGTCTATACTTTTAACACTGAAGACTAAGAGTAGGCCTATGCGGTTCTGAATTTCACTATATTAATAATGCATTTAATAGTTTTTGTATTTCATATAGGCCTACATACACAAAGATATATTAGCTACTGTTAAGTAATTTTATTTTTTACCAAATTTTGCATGTGCCTTTTGTGTTTGATCTGTTAACTCACTGTAACGTCGAACCAACATTTCCTACATTCTGTTTATTTCTATGAATGTGCGAATGTTTGGAGCTCCGTGTTACCTTTTAAAATGTTGCCTTTAGTCAAGTCAAACGCATCGAATGCTGTCTTGGGGGGCTGACAGGAAAACAGAAATCCCAGTGTTGTGTTTATGACCTCAGTCAAGGGGGTCAGTGTCACAAACAGGACAGACACCCACCATAGTGGCTTTCCTGTCAGCCGCCAGGCAGCTGCCGCCTCACTGGGCCTGTGTGTGCGTGAAGGGAAAGAGGGTGGACTTCTGGGAAAACACAAAGCACATAATAAAGGGATCTCTGCACAGAGCACACCCTGCTTGTCTCCTTCCTTTGTCCATAAAAATGTAAAGCGTATATCTTTTTGAGAGCCAGCCAAGTCACAAACTCAAAATGTGAACAGGCATCAAAGTAACAAATTACCAATGTCGACACAAATGGAAAGCTTGCGTGTGTGTTACAGGACCCCTTTTCCCTCTAATACAAAATGCCACAGGTTTATTCCGTAACTGGGATCACAAATGGAATTCTGCACAGCCTAATTGGAAATTGAGTTAGGCCCCTATTGTTGAGCCTCAGGAATGCATTGCGAATGCAGTGGAGTGGTTAAGTGAATGGAAATGAGGGTGATGCCATGCAGGCTCCTGTGAAACACCCCTCCATAGCAGATTTGCTTTTATTAGACACAGGGCTTAATGCCAGCACATTTAGTGTGGCTTCCTCTCGCTTCACGCTTGGGCCTTTTCTGTTGATGTGACCTTTTATTGTGGACATATCAATGTGTCTGATCATGGGTAATATATCTTCAGGGGTTTTATCATCTGCAACCATCTGCTTGAAAAATGATTTCTGTTTGTCAGGAAACTGTTGGGGACTTTCCTAGCAGATGTTAATTAATTTTGTTATGCTGTCAATATTGGAGAATTGTTCCAGTCCCCACATTTTTAAAACAATTTAATTGCATAATTTAACAATTTATTTGAAGAACCACAAATGGAAATAAAAACTGCTAACATTTTACAATAAGGTTTGTTTCCATTTAACTACATTAGTTCATTTAAAGAAACAGTGAACTGTTACTTGTACAGCATTTATTAATCTCGATTAATGTTCATTTCAACATTTTCTAATATATATATTTTTTTTAAGATCCAAAGTTGTATCAGTTAACGTTAATGCACCGCAAATAACATGAACACGTACACTCTAAAAAATGCTGGGTTGTTTCAACCCAAATTTGGGTCAAATATGGACAAACCCAAATACTGGGTTAAAATTTTAAATAAAAACTTTACAGTTGAAAGTGAAAGTTGAAGTTGGGTTCATTTTAAATTACATTTTTAACCCAACATTTGGGTTTGTCCATATTTGACCCAACATTTGGGTTAAAAACCCAGCATTGTTTAGAGTGTACATTTTTATTAAAGGACAACTTCGGCGCAAAATGAACCTCTAACTCTCTACACTTACAAAGTTCTCAATGCTTCGGTTTGCATGTAGGGACCTTCAACATGTTACGATGTTAGTGTGGGGCTATTTTGAGCCTTGTTAGTGGTATTAACTAGCGATTTTTATTTTTCATTACTCTATGCCCTATATACTAGCCTTAGTCGCTAAACAATTTTTAGAGATAAAACTCTTTACATTCGATTATCATGAAAACAAATCTCATAGAACGGTCGACTAATGTGTTATTAGACCAAATGTTCATTTTGCACCGGTTAATAAACACTGTAAAAATATGTAGCTCATTGTTAGTTCATGTTATTTAATGCATTAACTACTGTTAACAAATGAGATCTTATTGAAAAGTGTTACCTAAAAATGTTTTCCGATATCAAAATTCAATCCGGCCCGTGTGAGATTAAAGAATGGGGGTGGGGCCTAACGAAAGGTCTATTTCAGTTGTCTTTACACACTATCTTGATGGAGAAGATTTTGAGTTATGTGACAAGGCAGATTCCTCAGATCCTTACAGAGGGGCAGCTGTCTTCAGGGGGTCTGCATACCCATTCCTCATACCCCACTGGCTCTTTTTAACACCATTCTCCACCAGCAGGAAGGAGCAGGCCACTCTGAAAGACTCAATCCTGTTGTCCCCTCTCCTTTATTTAAGAGCAGTGTGGAGAAGCAGGCATTCCTCCAGTGCTGGTTTTGATTGTCACTTAACTTCTCCCAAACTCCACCCATTGCTCTTCTCTAATACCCACACCATTCAGAAACATCTAAGGCTGCTTATTCTGAGCCTTACGCTCTTTTCTTACAAATTTTGTCAGCTTTATTCCTCCTCACTGTCGCGATTTATATACCTCCCTTTCTTTCCCACCACAGCGCAGGGACAAGGGAAAGTTAACAAGGTATAACCCACATTAGTGCACCACGTTGCCTCTGAATACCCCAGAATACCTCAAGAATGAACAACTGCAGGAAAAGCGGCTCTACACCAAAACAGCATTGTGCTAAAGGCCAGGAGTGTTGAACTCTCCAGTTAAAGTGAACATGAGTCATTTCTTTTAAAGGTGGTTCTGTCTGTTGTGTCCGTTGAAGATGACATGTCAAAACTGAAACCTTGAGGAGGAAAGCAGTTGGGTTTATTACTCATAACAGTTGGTTGTTGATATTAGCCCCTTTCACATATAGTCTTTGCTGGTAAATTACAGTACATGTGTGAACAGAACCTTTTCAAAAATCCTGACAAATTGGTTCCAGCAATTTACCAGTAAGAGAAGTTGTAACATCACCAGTAAATTACCGGTAATGTGCTCTTTGTGGGCGGATGAAGCCAACGACGCTGCGTTTAAAGATCACTTCCGGTGACTGCCATCACTGAATTTAGCGGTATTTTGGGGCTGATGTGGGAATGTCTCTCACCTGTTAAAAGCCAGAACGCCGTTGCTTGTGTGAACCGCATATTTGTGTATTTACAGGTAAAGTCATTCGGGCAATTTTACGGTAATTTAACGAGATTGCTGTGTGAAAGAGGCTAATTGATTACTGTCCTGTCATGGACCTTTGCAGGATGTTAAACAATCCAGTGGCGGACTGGCTCAGCTGAAGTTGTTAGAGTGAATAAACTTGTTTATCAGTTAATAGCACCATTCTGCCCTGCCCTGTCCTGCCCTGTGAGAAATCTTGGAGTTTAACTGATTTTTTGCTTATTTGCATTCTGCTTTGCATCAGAGAATCACCAAAAATCACTTTCCCTCGAGTAGTTCACACACTCATCCCAGCTTTGGGGGAGCAAGATTCTTATTCCATTGCATGAAGCTAGTACCTCATGATTTTAGTACTATATTTCGATTACACTTTGTGTCCGTGTTACTGTGTGATGATAATTAAAGGGTTAGTTCACCCAAAAATGAAAATTAAGTCATTAATTACTCACCCCCATGCTGTACCAACCCCGTAAGACCTTCGTTCGTCTAAATAGTCGAATAAACTCTTTATTTTTGTTTGTTTTTTCGCACAAAAAGTATTCGCGTCGCTTGATAAACATATAGTTGAGCCACGGTA